CACCCACCCACCCTCCAGAGAAAATCTTCTCGAAAGAGCACGCAGAGCACCTCCCAGGGAGGAAAACCGCCCTTGGACTCTCCCTTGTGTCGTAACACATTTGACAGAGACTTCCCAAAACAAAGCGTTCTTTTATATCACAGAGGGACACGTTCAGCTACAGAGAGTCAGGAGGTACCTACGTCTGACAGCAAGATTATTGAGAACATCCTGATTTAACTCAGGTTTTCTAGTCCTGGCTGTAATAACAAATGTTATTTTAAAATTAGGATGACAACTTTAGGCAGGTTGTAGTCAATGGTTTTTGAAAACTGTTTTCTCGAATTAGGTCCTGCGCCCTTATTCGCAGTGACAGGGCTACGCCTCCGCAGTTCCCACCGGCACAAGCCATTCTGCACTTGTGTACAGAGGGGACCGTGCTGAAAGAGTACATCTGCACGGGAAAAGAAAAATTAAAGCTATGGAATATTAGTTTGGGGCTTAAATAAGTTTATCTGGGTTGAAGCAGGTTTTCGCTCGTAAACTAAAGGCTATTGGAAGTACCTCAAAACAATTAAGAGTCCCGTCAAAATTATTCTCTAATCCAAACGTGAAAGGATCAGAAAAACCCCAAACGTTTCCGATTCCCTGTATGACTGAAATGACTCCTGCCTTTCAGCCGGATACAAACACAACCTTACTGGTTCTGTATGATCTAACGAGGTTAACGACAACGCGTAACTGGCAATGCAAACGGGAATTGATTAGCTGGAGATACATGTCCCCGTTACGAAAGGGGAAGACTGAACTTTAATGAGAAAGACCCTGTAATCCCTTTTACACGGCACCACTGACGGCCCTTTAACCCTCTCCAGCAGGTTTGGTATTATACCTCGGACGCCGCAGGGGAATCAAATTAATGGTATTTCTTAAATCAGCAAGAGGCAGATGGTTGTGACACCACAAGACATCCTTCAAGAGGGTGAAACCACTGGCAGACCAGGAAACGTCGCCTCTCCAAGCCCCTCTCCAGACCTGAAGCAGCGAGTACTTTCTGTCCCTGCGGAAGCCCGGTCTGTTTTGTGCATTATCTCCAAGAACACGGAGCCCTGTTTTGTAACACACAATGAACTTACAAGTGATGTCTGACAAAGCCCGGCAACTTCACAGGGAAGTTAAATTGACTTGAGGACAAGAAAAACTATAAAATACTTCCATGGCAAGAATTGATCACATTACCAGCAAACAGAGGCCTGCAGCACAAGCAGATGCACAACCTCCGCTCTCATCACAAGAGCAATAAGCAAAACCCCACATATAAAGGCAGAGAACGACTAAATGACTAGTGTGAGTTTCAGCTCAGGAAATAGTTTAAAGGTGCCCCCAAGACAGCCCAGTCTCCTTTGTTTTCACTAAGGCAACACTTACAACCTGTCAAAAGCCAGGCTTGAATATTAATAAATATTTAATTGAGAGGAAATATACTATAGCTATGGAAAAAATCCTGGGTCTGAATACAATAATTATGCTACTATTTAAACCCTAATTTGCATCTTCCAGTGAGTCAGGACTCCGCAGCCACCAGGGCTTCCTCACGCAGCTTGGAGGCGTGCAGCCCGATAACCAAGGGGGCTTCCACGGAGAAGGGTGGAGAGGTCACGGAGAGCTGCTGCAGCGTTCGTGCGAGCTGCAGGAGTCCCTCACGAGAGGACGGATGGGCTCAGTCCTCCGGCGGCGCAGAACCAGCTCACAGGCACCTGGATCCACGCGCAGTGGATGAGGCACTCGGAGTCTGCTCGTTTTAGCAACGCTTGCATTATTTCAGAGTTGAAGCACACCCTGGAGACCACGAGAGAAACCTTCCTGCCAAAAATGAAGCAAAATAACTTCTCCCATCTATGCATACTTGTGTGTAGTTTTCTAGTATGTGTATTTGAGAATGATACAAAATCATCCATAAAATGTTAAATTTAATCATCCATTTGTCACCTACAGTTGTAGCAGAGCCAGTAAATCAGATCACTGTTCCCTCAGTGCTCACTGTCACAGATGAGCTACAGCTCGAAGCATCCACACACTCGTGTCAGCAGAAATACTTTCAGTGAAATACTTGTTAGAACAAGACCTAAAACGCGCAAGTAACTGCTGCCAACGCAGGCACTTCAGAGGCTGCCTCATGCCTCATTTGGTGCACATATAGGCAGTCAATGTAGTTAATCACCTTTGGAAAGCCGTTAAGAACGTGCACAACCTCACTGAAGACTTAATTGAAACTACTAAGCACGACCAGCGTACCCAGTCCTTCCCTCCTCTGGAGCTTAATGGCCAGCCTAGAGAGCCAGGAGCCCTTGTGTGCTCTCCCCAGCCCACTTCCACTAAAACAGATGTGGGGCATCTTCACCTACCCTACTCTGCAACCCACGGTGGGTACCTCTCGGAAAGCAAAAGCCAGTGTCTACCAAGCTTACCACAGCGTCTGAGCCACATGAATCTCCTCTTAACTCTACAGAAGCTTTACTGTGTCAATATAAAATGAACCATCACCAGCTTTTAGAGAAACGAACAATGGAGGCTTTTTAAGGAGATTCTTGGATATTAACATAAGCTCCTGCAGTCTGTTCCAGTCCTATCTTCCCCTTTCACACTGCATACAGTAATTCACCAATAATAAGGCTCTTAAAATTATTATGGAGCTGTGATACAATTTTATTTCTAAAATACAACCACCGATGAACTTTAATTACAGTATGGAACCCAAAGTAGGTAGTTTTGGTTCTCCACAGTGGCACTCCAACACAAACTTCAGGTCTAGCCAGGCAAAACCCCAGCCCCACCTCCGTTTCAGCAGCTGCACCCCACACCACCATCCTTGGACGTGTCAGACACACCTCTGCAAGTGCAAGCCATGGATTCCCCCGTGCCCGCCAGTGCAAAGCTGTTTTGGAGGTGGGAGGCACCACAGATTGTTGAGTGACCCAGTTCACTCTTGCTGAGCAGCTCCCCCAGGGAGAACCATCTGCTCTTGTCCTAATTTATTCCATTAGTCACAGCCCAATACAAATCGCATTAACTACAACAGGACAGTATTACTTGTAGGACTCACCACACAGCTCATTCAGAAATAATCGTGTTATGGTCATCTGCTCTCCAACTCCCCACATTCAATAACAAGCACTTCAAAATCTCCGATTTGCAACCTGAGTGCAAATTCTCCTGGAAAAAGGGCTAACCTACCGACCAGCCACGGAAAACTTCCACGGCCGGGCTGCGGGATTAGGAATTAAGACCCAAAGTAGCACACACGTTACAGAGCTCCTGGACAGACACAGTGACGCCTGTACGTGGAGAACATGGAAAAGGGAAACAGAGTCCCAGGTAGAAAACCTGAACTTAAGCTGAGCTTACTTTAAAGTAACTTATCAAATTAAAGTTAGTGCCAGATGGAATACCACCGAGATTTGTTTTATAGCAGACCTGAAAATGAACCCCAAGCCTTGCCCTTTCAACACAGCTTCGATGCGTGCGGTCAGTTTTGCGCCCGGAGCACTGCAGAGCAGGCAGAAGCAGGGATTCCAGACGCCAGCACCCCCTTTCAGCAGGTACTACACAGCTCCCCGAAGCACCAAGCCGCCTCACATCACGTCTGGCCCACTGTGTGTAGGACTGAAAAACGTGACAGAAGGATTGAGTGGTCTGTGAACTTCTTTTCTATTTAAAAAATATCTTCACAAGTTAAGTGGTACTTTTAAATCTCAAGTGTGGTTTTACAATGGATGGTAAGCACCATAAACAGCAGATGTGCACCTTCACCCGAACGACGAGCCGTTGACAACGGAGCAGCACTGGAACACCCAGGCCCCATCACACGATCTGGCACCCTGCTCGTGTCTCTAGACGGGGTGACAGCAGGTCAACTATGAGACGCAGCAGCACGGCCCAAATCAAACCTTCCAGTCCATCTAGATCACATTCTGTTCCGTTTTACCCAAAGCTACACATCACTAAGTTCACCAAAATTATTTGTGATAAGCTGAACACAGCAGCAGCCAAGAATGCTGGGGAGAAAAATGAAGATCTACTGACAAGCTGGTGATCTGTACCGAGCCGCAGAGATGAAAGCCCCTGGGGAAGCCGGCAGGCTCGCGGCACACGGGGCGTGCCTGCTCCTCTTACTGCGGCAGGAGAACCAAAATGGAGTCACGCAGGAAGGGTTACACGAAGTGGTTTCGCTTTAGAGGGAATCGCCACAGGAGATGCTTTTACTCCCTAGAGTAATGAATAAACAATTTGCACCTATCAAGGCTTCAGATAAGAGACTGAACACCAGAGTATCTGCTGAACACCACAGAAAAGAGCTCAGCCGAAACAGAGCTCTAAACCACAGTGCAAGGCACAACCGCCAGAGCCAAGAACTGGGGCATCCTCATGTCCCAGTCCACCATTTAACAAAAAGGTCCTCTTCTGCCACCACCACGGCCAGCAGTACCGGACTTACCCGGAAACTGATTACCAAAAGGCGTGATATAACAGCCTGTACCAGATTCAGCTGCAGCACAAAGCCAGTAAAACTCCGCTGGCGTTACCGTAACCCCAGTGCTAGAAGGGCAGCACCCTCCGACTCCTGCGACACCCACAGAACGAGCATGAAGCGTGCTGCTCTGGTACTTCTGCTCACCGAATTCTGTGCATCCCCAGCAATGGCGTTTCCATGCAGTGAGAGCAGGAAAACAGATTTCTAAAACTCAAGCTCGTCTTAAATTCATTAATTCAGTGCCAAGAGTTATTAATCCTGCAGCAAGCAGAAGTGGAATGACCCGTCACTCTCCTTACCCGCGATTTCCATCTCCTATTGGAGGTGAACTTACGGTTTATTATGAGTCAGAAGAAAATGCCTAAGGAATCTCAACTGCAGAGGTTTCTGCATTTTGAAGGACAGCCTACCGATCTTCTCCGGCTCGTCTGGACCTGTTCCGGCAATGCAGCTGCTCTCCAGGCCGTACGTCGGATCCACCTTCCCAGAGGCTCTTGCTGCTTCCTGGACTTTCTTTACATGAGCCTCCACAAGCTCCAGCGGTACCTCCTCTCTGACTCGAGAAAACTCCTCTGTTGAAAAATCACACAGAAAACGTTATACTGTGAGGGTTTTAGGGCAAATTAAAAGTTATGATTTATGTGCAGGTAACTCTCATGACAAGGTGAATTCTCAAATATGCAAGTTCCTTCTTTTCACACGATGTAGTTAATTTTCTCTCTCAAACGTTGTAGTAAAGTCTCTTCTCAATTATACATAAAATTGTCTTTTATGTGCAAAAATACAGAAAAGAGTGAAAGGACCTATTTCATCAAGTTTCTTCGGGGCCACAACCATGGCAGATAATGTCACACAGTGCATTTACCCACAGCTAAACTAAAGGACAGAGGCCACAGCGACACCAACTACTAGGTGGTGCTGGCAAACACCACCAGGAGTCAAGGCGCACAGGAGGGGAACGCAAGCCACCTTTAGACAGTCAGCGGCCTTTAAGAGCTACTCCAACTTGCCTGTAAATTGGCAGCTTCAGTAACAACAGGGCACAAAACTGGGTAAATTTGTTTTTACAACTTATTAAGGATCTCTACAACCAGTCGATTTAACAGCAGGCTGACAGAGAGCAAAGTCGTAGAGACCAGGTGAAAGACATTCTCGGGGCAAACCCATACCTAACGCAGCCTTCGCCGCGGCTGATGCCACCCGGGGGTCCACCACCGACGCCAGAAAAGCAACGGTGCTCATCACCGGGTTGCCGGACTGGCTGAACGGCACGGGCTGGTAAGCCAGCGGGCCCAGGGACGCGTCCGAGTTCTCCAAATAGGGGTCTTCGATCGGGAGCCTCAGAAAATGCAGAATGCACTCGTCCTGGGTCCGGCTCCCGACGTGCTCCGAGACTTTGTTCCAGTCATCTTTGTACATCTCCAGAGCCTGCAAAAGACCCAAACCGTTGTATCGACGTTGACTACCCTGGGGAAAACAAACCTACTTTATGCAAAAAGATTTTCAACGCTAATTATTTTGGTGACGGAAATCGGCATCAGACAGCTATTTAAAATCGTATTTTTTTCCTAGTAGCAAAATTATTCTGCATAAGAAATGTGAACATCTCACTGGGACATCAGCTAAATTTAAGCTGCAGGGATCATCACAGGAGTTTTATGCTGTTACTGTACCAAAAAGAATTGTCAGAAGATTTGAGATTTACTCTTAATATTTGCATAGTTAGTGTTTCCCCATTTTGCTTTCTCGTGAAAAGCTTTACGGGGAAATAAGTTTGCTTATCCTACCAAGGCTCACCAATTCTCTTAATTCCCATAACTACTCCCCCTGCGGGCACTCGTGTGTCTCATTTACATCCTAACACACTAAGGGGCAGGAACAGGATTTATTTCACACATATATACTAGCTACAATGGTGAAGTCCAGTTTTTAGATTCAACGGATGTTATGAAAATGAAAGGGCATCACCAACATACCAGGGGAAAATATATTCTATCTCGTGAAGGCAGAAGAGACCAGTTCTCCAGCAGCTGTTAACCAGCCCGATTTTTGTTATGCATTCGGGTTAACAAATCATCATCATGTAGATAAGCCACGTGATAAAGCAAAATCTTCCAGATTAAATCAAAGACTTTGTAATTCAGAATTTCAGTCCCTTTTTAGAGTTACATAAGGAAAGTCTTAACAAAACAACTTACAACCAACGAGCTACTGAAGTCCCTGCACTGGTTTCCGAAAAACTAACAAATCAGCACTGTTAAAAAGCCTGGCAGAATCTCATCCCTTAACAAGCAGTTTTCTTCCTGTAAACTGTTTCAGTTATTTAAGCATTTGGATTCCATAAAATAAGCACTGAAGTATCCTGAACCGTTAACTTTCACATTACTGAGATGATTCACAGCCCAGTCACCTGGAAGAACCAAAAAGCCATTTGAGATCCAGGCAAAATACGTTAAAACTTAACAATGAAAATGGGATCTAGAGCTCACAGGCCGCCAGCAGTCTTCTGAGAAGATCTGCCACCCGAGGCCTGAGCAGGGTGGCAACACCTTTCTGTTCCAGCCGCAGATCCCATTTCCAATTTTAAGTTTAACGTACCTGGCCGAGAAGTCAAGCTGGTTTTTTTACCTACCCTGTACTGGCCCTACAACAGCCATAACAGCTCCTGCACGGCTTCACAGCGAGAGAGCGGGTGTTTCAGCCCCAACCGGGGGAGGGGAAGGACAGGGTTTGAAGCAGGTGAGGATCCCTGTGACACGTCCCCACCGACGTGCTGGCCGTCAGGACAACACAGAAATCACCCTCCTCCTCAACTACCTGCTCATGACAACCGAGTTCCCCCACTGAGCAGTACGTCCATTTAAGCGTGGATGTTAACAAACGAAGTTAACGGCTTTCCAAGACTGGAAAGCTTTCCCACGAGGCTGGGAACTACCAGAAATCTCAGCCTTCAGGGTAACAGGCGAGACTGACTTGACTTTCCACATGCACAACTCTTCATAGCAGAAAGGCAGACTTTGGAGCAAATGGGCTGCTCAGCTGGATTCGACCTCAGACACCACGAGGAGGATCCATCCAGCACGACGGAGGAGTGCACACAAGTACACGCAGTCAACAGGCTGGATGTCTCCGCAGAGCTCCTGCAGAGTCACTAGTGACAAGGAGATGACAGCAACCGAGCCAGCAGCCTCATGTGATAAGAGTTCCCCAGCCTGGGAAAGGACATTTCCACAAAACAAGTTATGCTGCACACGGAGCTTGTGCATTCAGAAGACATTTGCCTGCAGGACTATACGTAAACCAGTCACCTTCATCAACACAAAAGTATTTTTGAAAAAAATCCAGGAGTATCTGAACATACTGTTTTCTTCACGGCAGTTCTGGAGGAAAAGTGTTGTAGTGGCTTTGCAGCTACAGCATAAGCTCTGGGAATCCTTCAAAGACAAAGCAGTCTACCTGGACAGGACCCTCGGCCATGTCAGGGATGCTGAAGGTCAGCTGGGGAAAAATGCAAACCGAGCAGGACGTTGCAGGCTGTGGAAGCAGACTAACTGAAAGGACAGATGAGCTAAATCCAAGCGCCAGAGATCCAGCAGGCACTGAACAAATTAAGAGAAAACAGACCAAGTTGCCTGCAGCGGGTGGAGCTTTTTAGCCCCCCGACCTGAAACAGATTCAAGCTGAAGCTTTAAGTTTCTCTCCCAGAATAGGTCTCACTGCTTAAACTGGGTGGGGAGGAGGGGAACAAACCCCCAGTATATCTTCAAAAGGCCACTGGTTCCCTGCTCCTTCCCACCCCGGGTGTAAGATCAGCCGGGCAAGTCCCAGATTAGAGGAGCGCTGTGCTCCAGCAGAGCTCAGCTGGCTGTCAAGAACAACACAGCAACTGTGGAAGACCAGGAGCGAGACAACAGGACGGGTTGTGAAAGCTCAACGGAAAGAACGACTTGTTGGGGGCTGAACCATGGACAGACCACGTGGGGCTGGTCCATACCGCAGGAATCACCGGTCCCTACCTGCTCGTGAAGCGTGAAAGCTCAACGGAAAGAACGACTTGGTTTGGGGCTGAACCACGGACAGACCACATGGGGCTGGTCCATACCACAGGAATCACCGGTCCCTACCTGCTCGTGAAGGGTTCTCCTGACCCCCGCCTGATCTTGCCCAAGTGTTTAAAGAAATGAGAAACTGCCAGTTCACTAGGTCATACTCACAGGGAAATATTTCTTCCACGTTCAACCTTCATTTTACTTTCCCTAATTTCATCTCTGTGCTGCAAGTTATGTGTCAGCGTCTATCCATTTTTAATCACGCTGGCAAATTAGATCAGCTCTGCTTTTCAGGGCCATGCAGGGTTTTTTCACTCATTCTCCTTCATTGCTCGTTATTTTTCTGCTAGACGAACTGGCTCTCACAATAGTTGTCCTTACTATAAATAGCTGAAAGTGCACTTAACTATGCAAGAATAGTGCTCCGTGGAGACAGGGAGCAGCAGTGTGGCAGGGAAGATGATTCTGGGAGGGAAACAGTATTTCCTCCCCCCAATTTATTCAGTCAGCAGGCAGAAGGACAATAATTATTTTACATAAGATTTATTCTTTGGAACTTCACTGCACATCTATCTGCCCAAAGCTACCCCGAGGATTTAATTGGACTGAGCTGGCTTGTTATAGCTGAATTACTTATGCTTGAACCGATATACTCTTTACTGATTTATTCATAGGTTAAATCCACAAAGAATGAAGAACAAAAACATTATTAATTTAAACTCACATTAAACAGAATTGTAATCTCAAGACTTAGGGGTTTTTTGGTTTTTTAAACAAAGAAGAATGTGTCATCTGGATCATTCCATTAGGCTACTACTTGCTATGTATGACCATAAGACACAAGCATTCAAAAGAATGGATTTTAAATAACAATACTAGTAAGTGAAGCAGCCAGCATACCAAGATATTAGTGCTGCTTCTCCATACAAGAATGCCATGAAAGACACATTCGCTGTTTTCACCCCACAAGCAAAATTTTTCCACGGGCCACTAGAAAAGCATCAGCTAAACAGTGCACATCAACCTAACATTAACAAAAATATCTGGTTTGGCTCTCTGAGGAACACACTTCCGTATGGGTGAAGGCTGAACCGAAGCGCGCGGCTGATGAGGCACTTGGGCGAGCTCAGAAAAGCCGCCACCCACAGAAGCCGAGTATTGTTCAGCACCGCCAAGCGCTGTCAAGATCCATTGTCCATGCTTCTCCTTATGAAATTAACTTTTCAATGGGTTTACTGACACATGGAAAGACAAAAAAGCCAGAACAATCACGCGATTGCAGCCTGGTTTAAGCTCCCTCCAAGTAAAAACAAACACAATCGCCCTCGCCCAGACTGGAATTCTTATACCAGAACCCTGAATTACATGAAGGGGAAAAAAAATCAGCCACCCAACCCTTACATCAAGAAGATGTTCCTGCCAAAGCAAGCAGGTAGACGATGATTTCTTTATAGGAATTGGCAGCACATTAATTATTTCAGGCCACCGAGCTGCTTCTGACGAAGTGCTATGGAAAACAACGCTGCCCTGGCGTGAGCGAGAAAGACCAGAACCACCTCTGCAGCGCGCCTCACGTGACGGCTTTCATCCCAGAGTGGAACTCCACGAGACCTGACAATCACCATGTGGTTCAGGAGCATCAGATTAAGCAATCTGAGGACAAAGAGCAGATTCTATGTGCCAGCAGTCCTCTGACCTCCTTTTTACAGTACCAATGTGATTTGAGTCATCTCATATGTATTTCTTGTAGACTTCCAGAAAAAGCTTAAAGAATACATCGAGTGCAGCTATGTGGCAAAAGGAAGGAGTAGATGTGTGGGATTAAAAAGCTGCCAAATAAAGAGCTTCCCTTCTCAGTAGCAGGAGACAGGAAACAGGCTCATCTGTTTCTTAACTGTTTCAACTCCAAACATCAGTGGTTTCCCTTACCATGCTATGGCACAGCCAGGAACCTTTAAATGCATCAGAATTTCAAAACATTCATCTTAGTGGCAGGCAAACCGCTACCTGAAGGGCATTTATTCGACACTGTTAGTAACTCCTGTTAAGGAAGAGACCTCTCTGCGCTGCAAGATCTGTTCCTGAGTTTATGCAAACATTCTTAAACACCTAATTCCTGGTTTGCAGACACAAGTCAGGGAGAACTGAAACTTAAAGTACACAAAGCCCCTGGGTTTAGTACTAACATTCTCGTAGCCATGACGGTCAAAATAGAGAGACGCGGTTTGAAGGGAGAGCTGTAACCCTTACCCAAGGGACAGAAAGGCAGCCTTGCACACAGACACTCAACCGCCCCCCTCCTCCAGCTACAGCAGGCGGGTCTGAAAAGACGGCTCCCCTCTACAGACGCTCCTCTGCCACCCCGGTTCTGTGCAGGCATGCAGCTGTCATCTCGCTCCACCACACAAAATTGTGGTTGGTTTTTAAACATTGTAATATCCTGCGTGTTTTGGTTTCCTGGCTCCCACCTCCACGAACTTACTTCTAATAGCAGCAATGTCTCTTGTTCCGTCCATTCTCTTCCAGCACTTGCACCTTTACTCTACAAAAGACAGAAAAAACCAAGTGAAATACAGGTGTCTTTGCACAGCACTTTTCAACAGAAAACTTCAGGAAGGGAAGGGGAAGAGTTCGTGATTTAATCCCCTCAAACACGTCCTTTTCACAACCCTGCCATGACAGCTAACCCAGCCCCGGCTATCCCGTACAGGGCTCAGTTCACGTGATTTACTTCCGTAGCTCAGGCACGCAGGCGAGTACACTCCTGCGGAGCCGAGGGTTACAGATCCCACCTTCCCAACATGTCTAGGAGAACCTGCAACTCCTCTTTTGTTCCAAGCCAAAGTGATTTGGTACCCTCTCCTCCTGGCTCCCACCTACCTTCGCTTGCCCATACAGCAAACAGAAACGAGGATCTTCCTAAATAATACAAACCCCTGGGAGTGCTGACGGCGTTCCGGTCAGCTTGACTTTGCCCAGTACAATTAAGCCAAGAACAGAGCAGTTTCCACAAGGCATCCTACAGTTCACACCGAAGGGCAGCAGCAGCCACAACACCAGAGTACCCAACCCCTCAGCAGCGCCCCACAGCCCAAGGAGGCTGCTGTCCCTTGAGGAGATGGTATCGCTCGGTTCAGGCACACCCGGGATTCTCTCAGCAGAACGAGGTTTATGTCAGCTTAACCTCAGCCCCCACCACACCTCTGCTTCCAAGGCAGACAGGCTGGACTGTGTAAGGTGCATGCTGGCCCAAAAAGAGCTCATCTATCTAAAAGCTCATCAGTAACTTGGTAAAAAAAATAAATCTTGGTAAAAAAGTGAGATGAGCTATCTGAAAAGACAAGAGTAATTACAGCAAGATAATCTGCATAGTTAGCAGTCACGTGCTCCAAGGGTTGCTGCTTCCAAATCTATACCTCACGGTTAACTCCTGGGATTTTCTAAAAGTTAAAACTCTCTTGGTGAAAACCTCCCCTTCCGTGATTACAGACGGCCTAATCCATTACATGTCAAATAAAGACAAAAGCAGCTTGTCACCTGCTTGTGAAAGAACATTATCTAGATTGGATGTCTCTGTGCGAGACCACAGCAAGAGGAAAAGGGTAATTCGGGTCAGTAAATCTATCCCACCTCAAGGTGCATTTCAACTAGGTCATCAACCCAAACAGAATGTTAATCAAAGTGAGTTATCCAGCAGCTTCTCAAACTCGTCACTTCTCAAACCCGCTGGTATGAACAGCCCAAAAAGCAACTGCCACACACGCAGAAAAACCCCCAGGACATCAACTTCTGCAAACCAACCTGCCCAAGTGCATTGGTGTAGATGGTTGTAAAGAGAACCACAGCCTAGAACCAGCAAAAGGTTTATGAATTTGATGAATATTTATACCTGTCTACACTAAGTGAAAAAGTCGCTCCACAAAATGTGATAAGGAATCAGGCTTTATAAATAAATTGTGATCTCCAGAACTACTGTGGTTTTGATTTTCTGGGCGTTTTTAAATAGTTTTCTCTTAGGCGGCAAATATTGTAGAAATAACAGTGTATAAATACTATAAATATTTATCTCTGAGGTTTAAATGGCGATCTCTTAGGACAACGAACACTGTACTTACAGAAACCAATTACAGAGAATTAGCCTGATGTCAGCCCAGGAGAGGCACTAATCCGCAGAGCGCTGCAGACCGCCCGGCTGACGGCTGTGCTGAAGCAGTAACCCGGAATTCCTGCAGTACCTCCGAGCGCTGCCAGGCACACACACGGGTATCGGGCAGCAGGAGACAGGCAAGAGGTTACAGAATTACTGACATCGCTGCAAGGGGGTCTCAAAACTTTAACTACCCAACACAACACATTGCAACGTGCTAAAACATCCCCTGTGGGGTTTGGGACACCTTTTGTAATGAAGCAACGTTCTGTTCTCCCTGTCTGGAACCCCCTGCTCAGATTTGGCAAACAGGACGAAGACCCTGCAGAGCGATCTCGGTTTCTGTAGGGAATTACTAGATAGGTTGTCAGTTCTGAACCAGTCAGGCAAAATACGCAGGAACAGGACAAGAGTTCAGCGTCTGACGACTGACTAGCTCGGGACAGGTACTGGTCTTTACTTCTACAGAAGCAGACACCCAGCACAACCATGTGCCTTGGTGTCCTACACCGTGATGGAAGAAACCTAAAACAGGAATGTAAGAGTAACACAAGTCATCTCAATGTCATCTGGCAGAGGACACTTGAGGAAGGAAGCTTAATGGAAGGCGCAGAGGAAAAAAAAAAAAAAAATCCCAACACACTTGCCTAGGCTAAAGTCTTTTTTGAGTAAATGTCTGTGCGGAGTCCAAAGTTCTGCAGATCAGTAGGCTTCTCTTTGTTTTTCTCAGGAAAACTCAGCATCTGCTGAGCAGCCGGAACCTGTGAACAAACGTTACAAGGGAAAGGTGAGAGGGGGCAGGAACTGGAAGTTATCTGAGGTTTTCAGACCAACGTTAAACACAACACAGACTGAACAAAGCTGAACCTGTATCTACAGAGATGACTTTACAGAGCACCAGTACTAGCAGGCTCGTTCTGGAGACTCTACCTGAAACTCAACCTACGCGGAGAAAACAACGGAACATTTCATCCAACTGGGCACAAGTCACTCTCCCGACGTGCTGAAGGACACTGGCTGGAGCGGAGGGAAACGCACGCCAGGGCGACCCGCGGGGCTCACCTGCGGAGTGCGGATATGGAGCGGCATAAGTCCCGAGGGCGTATCGGCCAGCACGTTGAAGTGAGGAGTCGGGGGAGGGCCCATGGCCATGGGACGGCTTTCTGGATCCACCTGGTAGTTAATGAGACCCCACTGCTCCAGAAAAGCATGTACTCTGTGAAAGGACGTGACAAATCAAAGTCAGGAGAACAAAAGCCTTGCTTGTGCTTGGCACCGCGGAAAGGAGACGGCGAAGGAGGGAGTTTGTGTTTCTGGATCAAACGCAGATCCAGAATCTTCTATGATCCTTCACTGACCACAAACACCAACACAAATCACACAGCACGAGCTTTCCGCAGACTTGACTGCACTTCAGCACGTTGCATGTAGACAAAAGGAAATTACTTAATTAAGGACGAGGGCAAAGCCAAGCCAGAGCTGCGTGCGCGGACCCACGGGCAGACAACGTACGGATTGTGAGGGCTGCACAACCATTGACTTGCTGCCCTCGTCTATCTAGAGCTGTTCTTTGCTGAATCGACATTCAGCAAGTTCCAAATTCCCAGGGCTCTGCTGCGCCTCACGGCTTAAGATCGGCGAAACATAAAACTGACAAAACCGAGCCGCAAAACTGGGATTTCTGAAAAAACTCCACATACTTACTAGCAGCACAACCTAAATAATCAGAAGCTAAGATCCAAACGCTGCAAGCACGG